GTGTGGTCAGGAGCTCCACTGGCAGGGCCGCAACCTACTGCTCTAATCGATTCCCCCTAAAAATAAGGGCTATTCCAGCTGCTTTCTGTGAGCTGTCAGACGGGGCTTTGTCAAGACAGAAATGGATTTGAGCTGGATAATGGAAAATAAAAGTAAAGTTCACTAAAAAAAATATGCCATGATGTTGCTGCTCCTTTTGTACTGTGAATATTTCAGGATGAATGGACCAATAAAAATAGTCAAAAATGACTGCGAATAAAATCTTGTCCCATTATAATACATTAACATTTTACTAGAAAACCTAAACTTTTTTTATAAAATAAAGTAGAATGTTAACATACAACATGTTAGAGTTTCAAAATGTGTGGTTCAGTCCATAGTCAGTATATGAAAAAACTGCAAAAACAACTTATTTTGAATTTGCTGTATTTGTGATGTCATGAAAACTAACATATTACATTCATGGACATATTCAGCCTACAGCAACTTAGTCCCGCCCACTCATGCCTTTACATTGGGTGGAAATTTCATGATGAACGATGACCAAAAGAAATGGAAAAACGTCTGGTTCCATTGACTTACATTAAAAGTAAAGTATGTTTTTTCTTTCTCCTGTAAAGTTACTATTTTGGAGATACAAGGTTTTGATCCGACAACAGCGATATACTAGTTTTAAAGACACATAAACAAAAGCAGCCTGTTTAATTCTAAGGGATACAAGAGGTTGGAAAATGTTCATGTAAAAATTAATTATGATGGTTTTTGATGCATAAAACCACACAAACATAAGAAGTGGACCTCGAGGAATACCTAAAATACAATGCAGATTATGGGCTCTTCAAATGTTAAGAAAATTTTCTCTTCTCTGAAGTTTGTCAGATTCAAATGTGTACATGGTTCCCACATGAATAAAACACATTACATCTGCACAAAAGACAAAACATGATGAAATACATTATCATCATTATTATTATTACTATATTATGATAATAATATATGGTAATGATGTATACATTTAAATCCAGCAAATTTCTTTTGTTCTGTGACATTTTAATGAGTTTTGCAGACATATTGCTGTCTTTTGGCCCATATGCTTCTGTGTGGTGTGATGATTTCAACGTAGACCCCAAAAGTTATCATTATCAGAATGATTGAAATACTGTCAGAATAGACTAGAGGCTCATTGTATTCTGTAGGTCTCACTGAGTGGACAAATAATTGATCAAATTATGATACTCCGCTGCAAACTTACTGAGGAAATCAACCTCTGTATATATTCTCGATAGCTCTAAGGAAAGTAATTGCCTTGAATTGTTTGAGTGGCTCTTGAATAATTTAGCTGATTTCTTAACGGCAAGCTACACGACCATGCAGCAAAAATTGTCTTGAACGAGCACCAGCAGAGTTCAGTTTGAAGTTACAGAGCTGATAAAACTCCTACAGTCAGGCACTAACACCTTTAATGTTGGATTAAAGCCTATAGTGCGCTTTATTAGGAACAGCTGTACACTTACTCAAATAACTGATTAGCCAATCATATAGCAGCACTGCAGTGTATGAAATCATGCAGATAAGGGCCAGCAGCTTCAGGTAATGTTCACATCATCTGTCAGAATGGGAAAAAAACGTAAGCTCAGAGATTTTGACCATGGCATGATTGTTGGTGCCAGGCGGGCCAGTTTGAGTATTTTTATACTTGCTCCCCATGATCCCTCCCTGGGATGTTCATGCACAACAGTCTCTAGAGTTTACTCAGAATGGCGCAATAATGAAAAACCATCCAGTGAGCGGCAGATCTGCGGACTGACATGCCTTGTTGATGAGAAAGGTCAATGGAGAATGGCCAGACTGATTCAAGCTGACAGAAAGGCTACTGTAACTCGGATAACCCCCCTGTACCATTGTGGTGAGCAGAAAAGCATCTCAGAATGCACAGCACATCAAACCTTGAGACAAATGGGCTGCCACAGCAGAAGACCACGTCAGGTTCGACTTCTGTCAGCCCAGACCAGAAAGCTGAGGCTGCAGTGGGCACAGGCTCACCAGAACTGGACAGATGAAGACTGGAGGAACGTAGCTTGGTCTCTGGAATCTCATTTTCTGCTGAGGCACACAGATGGTAGGGTTAGAATTTGGTGCTATCTGCATGAATCCATGAACTCGATCTGCCTTGTGTCAACAGTCTAGGCTGGTGGAGGTGGTGTAATGGTGTGGGCAGTGTTTTCTTGCCGTTAATTCCAATCATCACTTGAATGCCACAGCCTATTTGAGTATTGCTGCTGACCATGCACATCCCTTCATGGCCACAATTCAGCCATCATCTAATGGCTTCTTCTTCAAGCATGATAATGTACCATGTCCAAAGCAAAAGTCATCTTAAACTGGTTTCATGAACATGAGTTGTTACAGTGGCCTCCCCAGTAACCACACCGGATCTGAATCCAATAGAACACCTTTGGGATGTGGTAGAGCAAGAGATTCATGGCATGAAAGTGAACCTGAAAATCTGCAGGAATTCCATGATGCTATCATGTCAACATGAACCAGAATCTCAATGGAATGTTTCCAACATCTTGTGGAATCTATGCCATAAAGAATTGAGGCTGTTTTTAGAGCAAATGGATGGAGGTCCTACCTAGTATTAGTATAGCGTTCCTAATAAAGTGCTCAGTCAGTGTACGATAAATATTAATTTAAGTCCAGCTGGATGCAGGATGGTGGCTAGTTTCCCAGACCCAGATTAAGCCTAGACTAAATTACATTTTTATGGTCAAACTCCATTGGCATAGAAAAAAAGCTGTTGTATGAACTTAATTCAATTATGCCACACATTACCATTCAGTCAAAATGATCTGAGTCAGTATAAACAGACTTTGCTACCTCAACATAAAGTTCAGTTGTTGATGGAACAAAATTGAAACATTGCAGTGCAATTTATTTGGGTTACATTGGAATGGAATTCTCTTTGGATCAATTCATTGAATTAAAAAGTGCATTCATTGAAATGCACCTTTATTGTTTTTGTCCATTTTGTATAAAGAAGTTACTTAAATTTATTATTAATTATTGATAAATTTTCCAATTTGTAAGTCAAACTAATTTTTTTTTATTGAGTGTAGACCCGGTTTAATCCATGTCCAAGAAACCAGCCCTTAGTGATAGATTTGTTAATACATATACATATATATATATATATATATATATATATATATATATATATATGTATATGTATATATATACATCGGTTAGTCTGTTTGTCTATCTATCTATCTATCTATCTACCTATCTATCTATCTCTCTATCTATCTATCTATCTGTTCATCCATCCATTCATCTATCTAGTTTGAACACCCCTGGTCAAATTGCTTGTTTCGTCCTGTACACACATTTAATTTTTTCCTAACATGTTAAAATCAGCAAATAAATAGATATAGATGTCCACAGTCTCTGGCAACTAAGCAAACTCTTTAAAACTGTTTAAATCAGCAGTGAGGGTTTCTGTCAGTAAAACACTATATAACATATAGAAATAATGAATACGTATAACATAAATACACTAAAACAATATTCAATTATTTTCGAAAAAATAGTCAATGTCTTATCAGCTAGTTAGAGGAACACAAGTTTGGTTCCAGATTTGTCCCGGACACATTGGCTATCCTTTGTATTTGTTCAAATCCACCACCAGCACACCTGATTCAACATCATGAAGTGCTGATTAGCCAAACTAGGTATTGGATGATAACTACAAGTAATACTGGGATTCCCCGAAGGAGAGATTGGAAATGGTTAAACAAACACACTAACATGCCTAAAATCACTACTGACTGTATTGATGCTATTTGTATTTATTCTAATTTCTTAGCAAACATATGCTTACTGTCCAGATAAATAGCAGAAACTGGCCACTGAATTTAAGATATTTAATCATTTAAGATAATTTCAGGTATTTTATGTACTATATATAAATGCTTTGTTCTGGTAATTGAATTGGACTGTAGTGCTGGGCTTTCTAGGCAGATTGTAAAGAAATTAATGTGTAGTTATACTTACTGTAATCTGTATTTTAATCCTCTCTGTCATAGTTCTGTGTCAATATACCACCAAGTATGTGCCTAATGCTATGAAAACACATCGTTGTTGGGTTTTTTTATTATTATTATTATTGCTATTATTATTGTTATTGATGTTTTGTCTTGTTTGTTAATAATAATGATAATTATTCTGTTAAAAGGACATTTGTTGTTGTTGTTGTTGGTGGTGTTTATGTTGTCATTGTTGGTTTAAGATGTGTTTATGTGTTGACTGTGTTTTATCGTGGGTTAGTTAGTGTGGTTAGTGTGTCTACCATAGAGAGAAGTTGTATGGCTAGAAATGACCTTCCCTGCTATTCCGGCATTTCCTCAAGCAGAAATAATGGCATCCTTTGGTTCGTCTTCACTGCCAACACCACCACAATACTTCTACTACTACTACTACTGCTATTACTACTACTGCTACTACTAATAATAATAGCATTGTTTATTTATATAGCGTTGTACACTATTAAACATATAACATGGGGAAAAACAGATCTAATAAAATAACGTCATTGCTATTGTTATGAAAGGTATTGTCACTGTGCATGGTGTACATTTTGGCACGTGAGTGTAGTACAGTGCAGTGCAGCGCAGCGCAGCAGCGGATGATGATGATGCTGATTGGAATGGGGAGGAGCCAGGCAAAGAACACTCCCGGTCAAAATATCCCTCCGCTAGGTGGCGCTAACCCCCTCACTCTCCCCTCCTCCTCCTCTCCTGCTCTTCCTGAGCAGCACTGAGTGAGAGAGTGAGGGAGAGAGAGAGAGAGAGAGTCTTCAGTGCTCTGCGGCGGCTCCACCAGCAGCAGCAGCAGCACCTTCAGCAGCTTCAGCCGCAGCAGCAGCAGCAGCGCGTGGAGGCCAATGATAAGCGCGCGCTGCTGCTTCGCCTTCGTGTCCGCACCCCAGAGCTTATGGGCACATGGAGGAGGGCATGATGAAGTCCAACTCGTTCTCGAGCAGCAAGGAGGAGAAGGTGGAGGCGGACGGCAGGAACAGCGTGTTTCAGCGGCAGGACTCCACGCTGCTGAAGAAGAACAGCAGCAGCAGCGGCGGCGGCGGAGGAGGAGGAGGAGGAGGGAATAACGCCAACGCCGCGGCCGGCAAGGAGCACGCCAACTCCGTGGTGGCCGGCGGGCTGAAAGCGGACCGCGAGGAGACCATGCTGGGGCTGGAGGACGTGGACCCAGTGGGCCGGCAGCACGGCTTCATGCAGCGGCAGATCGGAGCCATGCTGCAGCCCGGAGTCAACAAGTTCTCCCTGCGCATGTTCGGCAGCCAGAAGGCGGTGGAGAAGGAGCAAGAGCGCGTGCAGACCGCGGGCTACTGGATCATCCACCCGTACAGCGACTTCAGGTGACGCGCGCTCGCTCGCTCCATTTGCGTTCTTTTCCTGCTTTCTTGTTGTTTATGTTTTATTGGGCTGCTGACTGTCGTGAAGAACGATCTGCTCCTTTCTGTATCGTTGTCTTGCGCGCACGCGCTATCTTATATGTCTATGTATGTATATACACGCGCGCGCGCGCACACGCTGACATTCAGTCAGTCAGAGCGCGCGCGCACATACACAAACACATACACGCTTGCACACGCACATGCACGCGCGCACAGACATTCTTATATGCTGTCCATAAATGCACACACACTCGCACTCGCGCGCACGCTCTTCCGTCCTGTCCGTGCGCGCGGCGGTGTGACATTGCAGTCGTTTCGGAAGCAGAGCTGAATGCCCTTGCCGTGCGTAAAGAGGGGGGCTGCGTGTCGGGGCTCGGTTTGGCACGTGCAGTGCGGGAGCTGCAGCGAAAACACACAGAAACACACACGCGCGCGCGCACACACATTCAGAGCGGTGTCACTGCGACTGCAATGAGACAGCGCGCGCGGGGGGCGCGAGGGGGGGCATGAGGGGATGTATGACTTCAGGCACGGAAAATGAGGAGATCATTCCTGGGTTGGAGCTGAAGTGTGTGTGTGTGTGTGTGTGTGTGTGTGTGTGTGTGTGGTCAGGTAGCGCTGACAGAAGGCAGTGAACGGGCGGTTTAACACTAATCACATTATCCAGGTGAAAGGGAAGGAGGCGGAGACTGCATTTTCCCCTCAGCAGGCTCTGTTTTGACATTGATGGTTTGAAAATGAGGTGCAAACGGTTAATGCACGCTGCAGGAATGACGGCAGCTGACGTCACATTTTCTCCTACAATCTATGACCATTCCCACCAGGTATCTCGGAATAATTATTTTCTCCAAATATTGATTTACTATGTGGGGATAAAGACATTATTTTCTCAATATATTGAATGTAAGTAATTATTTTGAGATAGTAAGTCAGTAATTCAATATCAATGCAGTATTTTGAGCAAATAGTCATACAAAAGTCAATATTTTGAAACACTGATGCCAGAAACAGAGGACGGGCTTTTATAATAATCCCCCTGTTCTGCACATTTTAGTGTTCTTTTCAATGCATCTGTTTCAAATCACCAGCTCATCTCCAAGCCTTTCAACATGAGATTGAAACATTTGTTTTTGTGCTGTAACGCCCCCCGTTTTAACCTTGTTGAGGGTTCAGTGATGAGCTGATGAATTGGATCAGTCTTGGATGAGAAAAGCACTAAAATGTCCAGAATTACTGCAGGAGCACAAGGATAGCAGTATATGCTACATTATATTGTTCCGTGTCATAGGAACTGTATGAAATAATCACCTGAATCAGTAAATAGATTTAAATGTCCAGACACGAGACCAGTGTTTTCCAGTTGCCGTACTAACCCACCCTGTCCTGCACATTTGAGTGCCTCGCCTGCTCTAAGACATCTAAGTAAATACTTACATGTGCAGATCAAGGTTTAATACAGCAAATATTGTTATGACATATACCGATGCTCATCATTGCGTAATCGTGGACTGCAGTGCAGTCTGGCTGAGGCTTATGTTATAGAAGTGTGTACAGGTTTTAAAGCAGGGGTGTCAAACTCAACCACTAAAAGGGCTATATTAAAAAATCTCAGCAAATCGGTGGACCAGCTGTGTTTTTATTTCATTTTTGCTTAACATTTTGCTATTTTTTTGTTTATTCAAAATATGCCAAAATTGCAAAAGCAAAATATCCATCAAATATTTATTCAGAAATAATTCTAAATAAATTCTTTTAGGTCGTTTATTTAAAACTGGCTATTTGCTTGAACCAGACACCAGGCATCTTTTCGTTTTGTGCAACCGCTGGCCCGTAGATTGCTCTTGGGGGTCAGAATGCACACTATGTTGCAGTGCATGCTGGGGACTGTAGTGCATCTCAGGGTGAAATGGGCTAATAATAGAAAATTAAAATCATTTCGCGGGCCGAATAGGACTGTGTCCCGGGCCTGATGTGGCCCGTGGGCTTTGTGTTTGACACCTGGGATTTAAAGTCTAGATGATGATGTGGAGATCATTCTGGTTATTTGATGATCTGAATCTGCACATATGCTACTTCTTCGCTCTATGTGCATGCTCAGTGTTCACCCTGGCAACAGCAAACTGTTTTCATCTCGGCTGCAGATGCAGAGGGGAGTTCTGTGTGTTCTTACACGCCGCTCTCCAAGGTACTGAACCCAAGTCCACATAGGCTTTAAAGCAGCATTTTTCAGCTCTGCTCTTACCGTCCACCTGCTGTACATTTTATTGTTTGTCCTGCTCTAGACCACCTTTTAAACCCCACGAAGGGTTCGGTTGAGGGTTGAGCTGATGAGTTAAATCAGGTGTGTTGGAGTAGAAAACACTACAATGTGCAGGAGAGGCTAAATTACTGCGTTTGAAAACCCTGCATTATAAAGGATTAGTATTATAGCGTGATGTATTTGGAAAATATTGTGATATTGAATTTGATCAATATCGCCCAACACTGAGAAGAAGAGAAAAGAGCAAGGACGAGCTCAATTGATTTTGTTATCGATCAGGAGAACACAAAAAAGCAAGAAGTGCTTCAGATAATAATGACTTTGCATCTGAGAGCAGATGCAAAAACGTTACGAGTTATTCATTAAGTGCAGAGCAAGCGAGCCGCAGCACATGTGCTCCACATGCTCACAAAGCCGACTGATGTTATTTCTCCCAGAAGACTTGAATGAGGCAGCAAGCGACCATATTGGTTCATAACTGAGCTGGAATGCATTCTTGTAAATGACGATGCTGCAGTGGTGAAAAGAAACAGCTGATCTTTCTTCTGCATGCAGAGCATTTTAGCCTTTTCCCTCCAGTTTAACCTCGTGAAGGGCTTAGAGATGAGCTGTTTAGGTGTATTAGAGCGGGAAAGCACACTAAAATGTAGAAGTTACCAACCATGGCAGTAGTTGTCAACCATGTTCCTGAAGATCTTCCAGGGTGCAGTTTTAGCTTTAACCCTGATCCTAAGGGAGAATAATCCATAAAGCAGTTAGCTAGATATACGGGAAAATAGAGGTGATTAAAAGGTTTCTTTGAGCAATGCAGAAGAACCACTTTTGGTTCCCTAAAGATCCTTTCAGTGGATGGTTCTTGAAAAATGAGATGTGATGTGTGAGTGTAAAGTCCACATAAAGCATAGGTTCTATACCACATGTTCTCTCCTAGAACTGTCCATGCCAGGAACCATTTAGGAAAATAATTTTAAGCTAGAAGCCAATATTGTTCAAGAGGAGGAGATCTAAAAGATGTAAAAGATGTTCTGATTGGCTCTCAATTTTGGCTTAAGTTGTTCACCTACCTGACTTTATGAAATACCTGCCCGATCCATCTCATTACAGTCTTCAGAAATCTTGGCCAATCCCATTTCACCCCTTGCCCCTACCACTTAGCCCTTAGCCCTCTGTTTTGCGTGTTCACGTCTAAGGGCTAGGGTGTCCTGATTTTTGTGAGATAGAGGGGAAGGGCGAAGGCACACTCCAAATGGAGTGTTAAAAAAAGGCAAGATGGCTGCACAAGCGACCAAAAAAAACAGAACTGAGTATTTTCTCAAATAAAAAAATACAATTGTATTATCTTAGATTGATGTCATTTAAATGTTTTATGGTCCTCTTCATTTTTTCAGCAAAAAAAGAAGGCACTAATAATCGCTAGTAGTATGCTGATATCTCGGTGGCTAGCCAAGTAAATTTCCCATTCCACCTTAAATGGTGCAGCAGTTGCATTCTGGAAATGGGACTGGGCCTTTGTTAATCTGGATTTGGGTTGGAAACGTGCATGAAGGCAGATGGCCAGAAGCACTTTCTGTGGTTTCACAGTAACGTTATGAGATGTAAGCTTGTACCCAGTGTTTTTCAGCATGCTTTGCATACGTTTACCGTTTGATAATGTTATGAAATATACAACAAAGGATGTCAAGCTCAGGTCCTGGTGGGCTACAGTCATGCAGACCTGCTCACCAACCTGGTGATGATTCAGTTCTTTGGGAAAAAGATTCAAGGATTCATGAGATCTTAAATTTACCCTCATTCAGTTCAGCTATTTTAATATGATTTCACACAGCAGTAGAATGTAGACAATATAAGTAGTACTTCAAGCTTTTTTGGTGGGGTGGTGGGGAGTTGGGGCTTTTTAAATTTGAAAATAGCCCAGAAATTTAGTTTAGGCCAAAAACAAAAGTCCATACTTAATGAAACAACAATGTAATTAATTACAGTTGTTTCTAATGTTTAAATCAACTACATTTTTCAATTGACACCTTTTGTTCGCCCACCAAATGTATTGGAGGCCTTGGTCCTATTGATCAGCTGAATGAGGTCTGTTAATCTCCAAACCCCTTAAATGGCCAGGGCCTGACGTTTTATTACACACTTCTCTAACCTAAGAATAGCTCAACCAGTTTGCATTGAAGTCCCTGTAGTTACTGAATAATAATAAGCATTAGTGTGTAAAGAACCTGGGATTTTAAGGTCAGGAGCCAGTGGCAGGTCTGTTCATTTTTCTATAAATTGAGTATAACCTATGCCAGCTCTACATTGTAGCGAACATAGTTTCTGAATAATAAGCCTTAGGATGTAATACCCCCGAGATCTGAAGGGGTTAAATGAGGTAGAATGCTAACTCTGCACTCTCCACTCTGTGTGAAGTAACAACATGAGATGCAGTATGATTAGCTGCTACATACACTGGTGTAAAATTCTCATTTACATTTACATTTACAGCATTTAGTAGATGCTCTTATCCAGAGTAACTTACAATACAATGTAATATACATTATCACAAGCATTGTGTTCAACTGAGCAATTTGATATTACTTAATTAGTTCATATTTTAAGTTCCTTTCAGCATAACTTGCTGCACTTTTATTAAAAGCCATGATATGAATTCAAGAATGCACCATAACATTGCATTCTTGTTTAAACTGAACAGTCTTGGTGG